TCAGACACTTAACTGACTGAGCCATCCAGGCGCCCCTAAAAATTTTTTTTATTATTATTATTTTTAATTTTTATTTATTTTTGAGAGAGAGGGAGAGCACGAATAGGGGAGGGGCAGAGAGACAGAGGGAGACACAGAATCCGAAGCAGGTTCCAGGCTCTGAGCTGTCAGCCCAGAGCCCGATGCAGGGCTCGAACCCATGAACCTTGAGATCATTACTTGAGCCAAAGTCAGACACTTAATCGGCTGAGCCACCCAGGCATCCAAAAAAAAATGTTTTTTTAAATTTTTTTGTACATTTATTTACTTTTGAGAGATAGAGCACAAGTGGGTGAGGGGCAGAGAGAGTGAGACACAGAATCCAAAGCAGGCTCCAGGCTCTGAGTGGTCAGCACAGAGCCCGACACGGAGCTTGAACTCACAAACTGGGAGATCATGACCTGAGCTAAAGTCAGATGCTCAACCGACTGAGCCACCCACACGTCCCCCCAATTTTTTTTAAGAATGAAAAAAATGGGGCACCTGGGTGGCTTAGCGAGTTAAGCATCTGACTTCGGCTCAGGTCATGATCTCACGGTTTGTGAGTTCAAGTCTGACATCAGGTGAACTTGAGCCCACGCTTCAGGTGAGCACGAACCCTGCTTCTGGTGAACACAATCCCCACGTTGGGTGAGCCCCACTTCTCTCTCTCTGTCTGTCTCTGTCTCTCTGTCTCCGCCCTTGCTCACTTGAGACCTCTCTCTCTCAAAAAAAAAAAAAAAAAAAAACACACAAAGCAAGATCACCAACAAAAAGCACAAAAATTCAACCCTTGCAGTACTCAGTAGATCATGAGAAGGACACTTGTTCATAATATGAGAGCTGAAACAAGAAACAAGAAGGCAGAGCATTACTTTGTTCAACCCCAGCTGGGAACGTGTACATTGGGCAGCTCAAGTTTATCACTGTTCTGCTCAAGTCCACAATGTCTGCAAAAATGCCACAAGCATTGATTTAGGGGTCACAGGTAAAGTGTAACAGATAGGCGAATTCACAAATACGGAATCTGCAAATAATGAGGATCAATTGTAGCTAAATCATTTAAGGTTATATTGAACTCATGGGATACAGACAAAGCCATTCTCTCAGAGGGAAGTTGATAGCAACAGGATGTTATATATCCTCAGTCACAGTCTCAATTCTGGTTTGTCAGATTCTGATGCCACAGAAAGTGGTGTCCTCATTTATCACTAACCTCTGTTCAGGTCATTGTATAGCTAGCTCATCTGGGAGGGTGTCTGCCCACTGATACCCTTGGAACATCATAGAATATGCCCTGGACCCAGAGAGTCAAGACCCGAGGCCTGAGTCCTGGCATGGCGTGTACTAGAAATATTCAAGCAAAGGGTGGAGGCACTGGGGCATGATGGAAAACACGCCAGCCTTGGATTTGAGCGCTCACTTTCTCTCTCTCTCTCTCTCTCTCTCTCTCTCTCTCTCACTGGCTGAATAAATTTTGCTAAAGTACTCAACTGCTCGGAATCTATTTCCTCCTTATAAAATGTCGTGACCGACCAGATGGTGATAGAGACCAAATGAAGTGGTGGGTGGGAGGTATTTGGAAAACACTAAAGAGCTGTGTAAATGTGAGGTGGGGGAGGATTGTCACCATGTTAATGGCATTCCCAGAGTGTGCTACTCTCTGACCTTATGCCCACAATCTGGACTCCATCTCACTGGGACCCTATCATTCTGAAACCTAAGGAGACACGAGCCCAGGCTGGCTGATGCCAGATGGAAGGGAAAGACAGGGACTCAGCAGTCCAGGGGAGGCTGATCCAGCCCATGGAAGGCCCGAGGCCCTCGTTAGAAGAAGGCACAGGGCCTGGAACCACCCGGAGCCCTTGGCCACCCCAAGGCCATAAACCTGTCTCCTTTGTCTCAAGCACCATGAGTGCCGAGGAGGACGCCAAGTGGCTTCAGTGGGTGACACACCAGTTTGAGACCATTGCGGGAGAAGACCGGGAGATCAACCTGCAAGAATTCAAAACAGCCTTGAATGTGAAAGAGGCAAGTGTCCGCTCCCGAAGTAGGGCCCCGCGTTCATAAGGGAAGAGCCATCCGGCTCTCAGGGACACAGTACGTCACAAGGAGGGAAAGATCGCTCCCCGGGCGTCCTCGGGGCTCAAGGCCCCACCTCTAAGCAGGATCGGAGGACGTTTCTGTCTCTGCTACCGATGCCCGTCCGTCCCTTTGGTAGCCACGGCCTCCTGAGGTCTTCAAAACAACATGTGAAGTTGGGTATCAGCAGCTTGCCAAATCTTAAGAAGTATTTTTGGCCTCATATTTTCCACCGGCCTCACGGGCAGAGTTGATGCTATCGTGTACGTAAGCCTCCTTCCAAGAAATAATGTTTTCCAATGGTTTGTATCCGTGAGACACCCACACTGTCCCCTGTCCTCTCCCAGTTGATAGGGTCTCTGCCCATCCCTGGAACAGCCTGCATGCCGGGCAGACTGGGGAGACATCCACAGAGAGACAGGGGGAGTGAGCCGGCAAATGTCAACCTCTCCCCACCTGTTTTGTGGGCTGGCATCTGGTGGTGGCCTGTGTCCTTGATAGGGGCGCGCCAGGGACCATCTACATGTCCCCGTTTGGACCAGAGGGCCCCTCACTTGCTGGTAGCAGGGATGCTGCTAAGAGCTCTAAATGCCATGCCTCCTTCTATATAGTGAACATGGGGAAGGAAAAAAAAGACTGGCAGAACATTACACTCTCAACAGGAGGCTGCAAAATACCTTAAGATAAAGACCATTCAAGATGGTGGAGACTGAGGTCTTACCCAGTGATCTAGGGAAGAAAGAGGAGAGCCAAGGCAGGGCTGACTGTCTACAGCCGACTTTGGCCCCCACTTGGCGCTTGTAAACTCCTCACGGTCCCTTTAGGTGAGACCTGAACCCTACGAACCCCTCCCCCTGCCCCGAGGGGAGCGTCTGCGCTTGGTATATCTGGGGCTCTGACCCAGCGTGTCTTAATTTCTGTGTTGAGTGTCTATTACCAGGCCCGGCAGGCAGGAGCTGTGCGGGACATGGCTGCGAATGAATGAATGAATGAATGAATGAATGAATGAATGAATAGAGTGAGTGAATTGGCGCTTAAGAACAAGCCTGAAGTGTAGGCTACCGGCAGCTTAAACAGTTAGTACAGGCGAGATACAGGTGTTCAAGCACCATCCTCCAAGACAGTCCTGGTTCACTCATCCCTCGTGTTCACCCCAAGGGGATGAGACAGGACCTGGGAGGAGCCTGCAGGGGACCTTCTGTCTGACCCTTTTTGCAGGTTGAGGGGTCTGAACTGCAAGGCTGATGGGGGCGATGGCAGGTAGGAGACAGACAGTCCATACAAATGACCAGGCTGCAGTGCCGGCAGAGGGCCTGAGGCCCAGACACAAGTCCATCCTCCCTGCAGGGATCTGAATAGTTCTTCCACCTGGAGTCCGAACTTGCCCTAGGCAGGCAGGATGGGCCATGGACACCGCCCCCTAGTGTGGCCAAGCGGACAGATCACACCCTGCGATCACACCCCACGCACCGGACGGAGTGCTGCCGGAATCCCACCACCCCACGGCGCATGCGTGCGCGCACACCACGCGACTTCAAAGCGCAGGCCCCGAGTCCACGCTGTGCCTTTTCCCGTCCTTCTCTGGCCACAGTCCTTCTTTGCCGAGAGATTCTTCGCCCTGTTTGACTCCGATGGAAGTGGCACCATCACGCTCCAGGAGCTGCTGGAGGCGCTGACCCTGCTCATCCACGGCAACCCCATGGACAAACTCAAATTCCTCTTCCAGGTGTACGACGTTGACGGTAAGGGCTCTTGGGGGGCGGGGGTGGCCTCAGTGGGAGGGGACAAAAGGAATCGACCCATCTCAGCGTCTCTGGGGCAGAACAGGATTGTTTTCTCCAGGCCAGGCTGATGGCTGTCTCCCTCGGCGTGACCCCGACCCGTCTCTCTGTCTGATCTCTGCCTCCCTTTTGTGGAAGGTGGCGAGAAGGGGCCATTCTAGCCCAGGAGACCAATGCCTTTGATTCAACTCACCAGAATCCAGAACTTTCTTTTGTTCTTTTCTATGTTTGAAAAAAGAAATTGCTTTATTGCTTTTTCCATATTATAATAAGAACGTTAAGTCCACTGTGAACATTTTAGATGATACAGAATGGTTTTAAGAAGAAAGCAAAAATCACCCATTTTTCTCTACTGCTTTCTAATTGATCTCTGTCACACACTCACACACACACACACACACACACATTTTTAAAATTAAAAAATGGGATTATACTATGCATACTGCCTTTTCTTACTAAACAATATAAACACTTGTTTATGCAAGACTGTATTGCTTTGTAACATCATTTTTACTGTAGCAGAATATATATAACATTAAATTTACCACTTTCACCATTTTAAAAATGTTTTTATTTATTTTTGAGAGAGAGAGAGACAGAGTGCAAGGGGGGAGGGGCAGAGACAGAGAGAGACACAGAATCCAAAGCAGGCCCCAGGCTCTGAGCTGTCAGCACAGAGCCCAAACGCGGGGCTCGAACCCATGATCTGTGAGATCATGACCTGAGCCCAAGTCTGACGCTTAACTGACTGAGCCACCCAGGCGCCCCCACTTTCACCATTTTTTAAATGTCAGGTCAACAGCATTAAGTGCATTCACCTTGTTGAACGATCATTACCACCACCCATCTTCACAACTTTTTCATCATCCCAAACTCTATACCCATTAAACACTCACGAGCTTCTATTCCTCCCTCCCCAGCTCCTGGCAAACCACTTTTACTTTCTGTCTGTAAGAACTTGACTATTCTAGGGTATTTCATATGAGTGGAGTCATAGAATACTTGTCCTTCTGTGACTGGCTTATGTCACTAGGCATAATGTCTTCAAGGTTCACCCATGTTGTTCTATGTGACAGGACTTAATTCTTTTTTAAGGCTGGACAATATTTCATTGTATGGATAGACCATGTTTTGTTTATACATCCATCAGCGGACCCTTGGGTTTCTTCCACCTCTCGACTATTGTGAATGATGCTCTTATGAATACGGGTATAGGTCTTCGAGACCCTGCTTTCCATCCTTTTGGGCATAGACCCAGAAGTAGAATTGCTGGATGAGATGGTGGTTCTATTTTTAGTCTTTTGAGGAATGCCGTAGTCTTCCACAGAGGTTGTAACGCATGACATTCCCACCAGCCATGTACGAGGGCTCCAGTTTGTTCACATCTTGCCCACACTCGTTACTTTCTGTTGTTGTTGTTGTTGTTGTTGTTGTTGTTTTTCTAATTGTAGCCACCCTGGCTACTAAGTGGTAACTTAGTGTGGTTACAGCATTACTTCCTGTGGCCACATCATATTCCACTGTATGGCCCATGCAGCAGAGTCTAGGAGTTAAGATCTCTGACTCGGAGGTCAGGCTGCCTAAGTTCAAAATCAGCTCCATCACTTATTAATAATCATGGTGGGGGCGCCTGGGTGGCTCCGTCGGTTAAGCATTCGACCTCGGCTCAGGTCATGATCTCACGGTTCGTGGGTTCAGACGCCACAACAGGTTCTCTACTGTCGGCACGGAGCCTGCTTCAAGTCCTCTGTCCCCCTCTCTCTGCCCCTCCCCTGCTCGCGCTGATCTCTCTCTCTCAAACATAAATAAACATTAAAAAAAATAATAATTATTATGGTGAGCCTTGGGCAAGATACTTAACTTCTTTGTGCTTCAGGTTTTTTTTTTACCTATCACATGAGAATAATGGTTATAATAACAGTATGTACTCATGAGGTTGATAGGATTAAATTAGTTAACTTGTGTAAATTCAGAACAGTGCCCAGCACAGGATACACCCTTTATAGGTGTCAGCCACTATGTGTTACTGTTTACTCAAACTCCATTACCAAAATGGACAATTTGTCTGCCCCTTCCCGCCACTTTTTAAAAAAATATTTATTTATTTATTTTTGAGAGAGAGAGAGAGAGAGAGAACACCAGCAGGGAAGGGGCAGAGAGAGTGGGGAAGAGAGAGAATCCCAAGCAGGCTCCATGCTGTCAGAACAGAGACAGATGTGGGACTCAAACTTAAACTCTGAGATCATGACCTGAGCCAAAATCAAGCATCAGATGCTCAACCGACTGAGCCGCCCCCATGAACATCCTGCTTTTAAATCTTTGGCAACTCTGAGGCGCCTGCTTGGTATTCTCTCTCTCTCTCTCTCTCTCTCTCTCTCTCTCTCTCTCTCTCTCCCTCTCTCCCCCCCTCCCCTGCTTGTCTTCTCTGTCTCTCTCGAAAATAAATAAATAAACTTGAAAAAAAAATACACTTAAACATTTGGCAACTCCGTGGCAGCAAGCATCTCTGAAGGCCTGGAATCATCAGAGGAAGGGATACTGCAGTGAGAAAGAGGCACCCAGTGAGACTGGGATGGTTGGGGAGGCCAGACTGTGCGGGCCTCGGTGGCCAAGGTTTGGAGTCTCAGTACAATTAGCAACGGGGAGTCATTGAAGAGTGTTGAGCAAGGAAGTCACTGGGCTGGATTTGCACCCTGAAAAGCTCAACCTAGGTGCGGGCCTGCTGCTGGGCAGGGCCCTCTGGCCTATGGGGTTTCTCTAGCTCCCCGCTGCACCTGATTCAATCTAGCCAGACCTCATTCCTGGAACCCATTCCCCAAATTGACCCCCTTCCCCTAGTACGTGGGCAGTTGGTCATACCCACTTCCTGAACACCTTCCTCAGACCCCACCCAGTCTCTATGGGACAGTCCTCACTGACTGCTTTCTGAGCATCAAGCTTTGCTCGCTCCTGAGGTTTACCGATGACCTCAGATGGAGAGGTCGGTTTGTGACGGGAGGAGTGGCACACTCACGTTCTCCTAGCAGGCAGTGGCGGGGAGGAAGGCAGGGCAGGGCAGGTGGAAGGAGATTTTATGGCAGGAACTAGAGGGCATTCCCTTCCAGTGGCTTCTGCTTTCTCTGAGATCCAGCGAGGGACTGGATGGCCATGGAGGTGAGAAGTGGTCCTTGCAGAGAGCAGAAAAGTGACCACACTAGAGAAGCAGGAGAGGGTTGCAGGGCAAGTTGAAGGCCTTGCTCTGGCTGGGGATAAAGCTTCCTGCCCTCTCGGGTGCTTTTCTTCGGGAGTGTCCTATTAGCTGCCCTGGTGCAGGAAGGGAGAGAGCAGGTGGCTAGATTCCCTCAGAGATGGGATATTTTTAGGTCATTGGAATAGAAGGACAGCAGGACAAGGAAGAAGAACGTGTGTCTGAGAATAATTATGAAGGAGGACCCTAGATTTGAAATTAGCCAAGGAGAGAATAAAGTTGGATGGATGACAGGGTGTGAAGGGGACAGGGGAGGGACTGGAGCTCCAGATGTGGTTAGAAACCTGTTGCATGGTGGCTCTTGACTAGGAAAGCCAAGGACAGGAGTGTGACTGGAGAGGGGTACTTTAGACTCTGCCCTGGCATGTGATTTGAGACTTTGGCTTTGGGTCTTCCTGACGATCACAATACCAGTAAAGACTTTCCATTTATATGCAACTACTTTTTTCCAGATACTGCAGTGCTATATAATGATCTCTCATCCTTGAACCAGTTCTGAAAGGGAGGAATTATGATCCCCATTTTATAGATGAGCAAAGTAAGTTTCACTACTCAGAAGAATTACAGCCCCCCAGCAGTTAGTAAGGGGCAGAAATCCAAAGCTACCTCAAGCGTGTCTACATCCCAACAGGCCAAGAACTCATTAATCACAGGCCCCGCTGCTCATGAAGAATGGAAATACACACAGAAAAAAATATGCCTCTAATTCTCATCGCGGTGGAGAGATTTGGCTTCTTTTTCCCATCACACTCTCAGTCCCCCATAGTCATGTAAAGTCATGTGACTGGACTTGAGTGCCCAGCTGTGGCCTCTCAGGACAACATGGAAGAGGAAGGTCTGCTTCAAGTGAGAGAGCAACAGGGAACTTTCCCTCACCACCACCCCACGTACAATTTGCTTCCGGATAATTAATACTCTAAGCAGAGTAATCCTTACAAATTAAGCAAGCAAGTGCATCTTCTGTGCAGATGGTCTTGGAAGCTCAGTACTTAGGAGGCTGCAGATTCTCGAGAAAGACATGCACTGAGGCTAAGAGGAGTTTATTTGTCCTGAACTGGGCAGTAGGGAGCCATAGAAGGTTTCTGAGAGGAGGGTGATACTGTGTATTTTTTGATTGCCTGGTCTATACCCCGAAAGGGAGTTGGTTCGCAGAAAACTGGAGGTGGACGATTAGGGAACGTTCGCCACTCGATGCAATGGCTGTGTATGGGAAGGGGAGTCTGTGGGTACAGAGTGGGGTCCCGGGCAGGCCCCCACTCATCTTCATCCCCACTTGGGACAGGCAGCGGCTCCATCGACGCGGATGAGCTGCGCACCGTGCTGCAATCGTGCATGCGCGAGAGTGCCATCTCGCTGCCAGACGAGAAACTGGACCAGCTGACGCTGGCGCTCTTCGAGTCGGCCGACAAGGACAACAACGGCGCCATCACCTTCGACGAGCTCCGGAACGAGCTGCAGCGCTTCCCCGGGGTCATGGAAAACCTGACCATCAGGTGCGGCTCTGTCTCCAGCGTGGGCACTGCCCGCTTAGGGGTTACCCTTCAGGTGCGCAGAGGGGCCCGAGGCCCCGGGGATCCCTCAGCTCCGCCCCCAGCCCGGCCAGCCCGGCTCAATCCTGCTCCAGCCCCGCCCTAGGCCCACCCCAGCCCCGCCCTAGGTCCAC